GGTCGTAATTTGTAGCTGAGACTTTCCTCTATGCTAGACTATGTCCAACTAAAAATTGAAGATGTATTCAGAGAATGGAAGGAAGTACCCTTTATTAGGCTTTTAGTTTACTTGATCGTATAATTATTTCGTTAGTACAAGACTAAATGACTTAAAATTTACGATTCTACTCAATAGAACGGTTTATCATGCCAATATCCGTCTTTCGATTGTGCAACACAATGTGTATATTTTCTAACTTAAGGTTTGTCGTGTTGCATACGAAATCATGCAACAACGTTTTCCAGATGCTTCGTGGCGCGTCCAGTCTTTAGACGATAGTTACTATTTTGGTGGTGAAAATGAAAAAAGGCAGCTTGCTATTATTCCTCATCGTCGAATATTTTCTGATGAATTTGATTTCGACAAGGGTGATCATTTGACAATAAAAGGTAACCATTGGGACGGTTGGTCAAAAGGATCAAATACAATAAATGGACGAAGTGGTCTGTATCCATCTTATAAAGCCGAAGAAATTATTCAGACAGCCCTTATGTATACTTATCCAGATGTGACTGAAGAATAGTAGTGCGAATCAATTTTATTCTTGTTTTTTATTTGAGTTCGACTAAGGTATCTTTTATTTGAAGATTTTTCTCTTGCTGGTTATTTCTGGCTGCGATATCTGATCAAATGTTAATCTGACATGCTGAGTTTTGTTCATTGCTGTTGAATGATGAGTTTGGGCAAATCTATCTGAAATGTCCCACATTTTACAAAAGTTTTTCCGCTTCATCTAAAACCAATCTAGTAAAGCTCATCAGGTTACGCAAGAAACTGTCTTTTCCGATTTGATAGCTAATGCAGAAACAGAGAAAAATGACTTTTACTGGAGGAAAAACTTTTGTAAAACGTGAGACATTTCAGATGGATTTATCCGCTTATCTATTTATGTGTATGCGCCCGTGCATGTTCTGTCATTCAGTCCGATCTCATGACTTATATCCTAATCGGAAGAAAATCCCGATTAGCCTGTACGATTTATCTCGACTGGGCTACAAATCCTGATCGGGATATTCTGCATAGCCAGATCAATCTATAAAAACAATGAATATTGTTTTGGAACCCATTTTATATTTTAATAAAAAACGGACAATGCCGTTCGAGAGAGGGTATAAAACCGGTTCAGATTCCGTGGGGGTCGACTGTAACGCATTGTTCAGAATACTACATAAAATTCGATGAAAACTCGCACATACTGATCGGAATATAAAATATATCCTGAATCGGCTGGACTATTTTTAATTTTTTCAAAAAACTTTCGTTTTGGGGAAAAATGAAACCTGATTACTGGGATCCAAAAGCATCCTCAGATAGAGCACTTAAAACTGCTTATAAATCATTACGAATCCCCAAGTAGCGAATGGTGACAACCGGGAACTGAAAGGTTTTGTCAAAGTGCTAATATAGGCTGCATAAACACTTTTGTCAGTCTCTGTTATAAAGCAGAGCTTGCGAAGTATAGAGTCAATTGACGGCGATATATGAACCGATCTACTTTTTCAGTTTTAATTCATATTACACTATAGTTTCAAAAATTTTCGAAAATGTAATAGTTGAGCGTTCTGGAACTACGGGATGAATTCTTTCCAGAAAGCTGAAGATAATCAATGTTGTTTTATGCATCTACAGTTATTGCAGTCGGATTAGCTATGATTTTTGTCCCATCAAGAAATCCTATAAATGAAGGTAAGAATTTTCTTTCATGTACATTACTGAATATGCTTGGATTAGGAATACTGAAATAGCAATGATGTCAAGAGAAAACGCAAAATCACGTCCAGAAGCCAATGGTCCGGATAATGAGTTTAATGTCATCATCAAATATCGACTCGAAAAACCCAACTTGGCTTCTTGTGCAACGCAATATAATCTGAAAGATACCCGACTACGAGATGAATGCATTATATGTAGTTTTAGAAAAACAAAAGATAGTTTAGTTTGCGATGCCTCTAAGTGTAGTAAATTTATACACGTTGAATGTTTCTACACATGTGTCTGATTACTCTATATTAGAATTTTCCTGCATATTGGAGATCTTGAGATCGTAGCTGAGAATACTAATATTACAGAATGATCATTCCATATGTTATTACCTAAATTTACTAACTGAGACTTTTAAACCTTACTTAATACGATCAATGACTAGCAACATATATTTTAAGTAGGCTTTTAAACATGTTTGGTACCATAGCTCTACAGGATACATGAATATCTCGATTGGAGTGTTGACTATATCTCAATTGAGATATGTATCCCGTTCAGGATATACCCTATCGGCCGATCGGGAAAATTATCCCGTTCGGGACATGAGACCGGATTGTCATTCTATTTGTATTTTATCTTGTGTGTCTTTGTTTATTGAATCAAAAACTACATATTTATTTTCATAATGCTATACTTTGCTTTTAAAATGTTATTATTTTTCTGATATAGATAAGAGACAGTCGTCTTGCTATTTCATAATATCACCTCTTTTTCGATGAATTTGTCAATCAAGAAATTGCATATAACTCGTTGCAATGTATGAGTAGTACAAAATATGAAAAAGAACAATACTTAGTATCATTTGAGAACGGACGACTAGTCTTGTATTTTCGTATTGGTTTAGAGAACGCTTTTTCATTTAATTAAACAAGGGTATGTATTTTTTGGAGCACCAGAAATGTTCGTTTTGATCACCAAATTTCTTTCTATCGAAATGATCACTAATTAATGAGTAGACAGACAAGAAAAAGAATATAAAGAAAGTTTAATTTATGAATATACAACTGAACATGAAGAAATATTATATATACAAATATATACAACTGAACATAAGAAAATAACGAAATAAAGCTTAAGGGCCCCCCTCCCTCAGAAATGGTGATTTTCGGTCAAAAAATCGGTTTTGAGATACGCACATGAAAAGATAGCTTGAAGTGTCTACTTCCAGAATCTGTATTGCGTTTAGTTACAAAAGTGGTTTTTCCGGGATTTTGAGGAAGTTTTCTAAGAGCCTCGAAAAAACGGGTCTTCAAATAATGTTTTTTTCCTGGATACTTATGCAATTAAAATTTTTCTGAAAACACAGCTTTGTAGAGCAAACGTTTCTGATCAAAATAAGACTTCGCACAACTCTGTATGGCCTTGCATCGAAAAGTTACAGGCATTTTCCTAGAAGTCATAAAATCGACTATTTCATACAGCGTTTAACATAGCGTTTTCGCTATATAACAGTTACACCTGAAGTGCGTCCTAAGATTTTTAATAGCGGTTTGTCGTAGAGAGTTCATTCTTTTCTTGTTTAAAAGAGGAAAAAAAAATACATCGACTGACCGGCGTCGATTTTTGAATTAGATCTTAGTTTTTTGTCAAATTGAGGATTTTTAGAAAATCCGGAAGGCTTTTTCGGGTTTCGCAGGTTGTTGGTTGCCTGGAAAACCAATAAAGGCTTAATTGAAAAATCGGCACCGGTCAGTCGATGTAGTTAGGTGTCTAGTTTAAAATAAAACAAACCCGAACTCTCCAGCTTAAAGTATATTAAAAAATCTTGGGACGCCGTTCAGAGTCCTTTTTGGACCTTGATCTCTGGAAAACGCCTAAACCGTAAGACTTGGAGACAAAAAAATCTTTTCATTCCCATAAGTCATTGTGCCGAACATTTACGGAAAGTTTCGTCAAGATCGGATGTACGGTGCCGGAGATAATTTCTGGGGGGGGGGCCCTTAAGCGAATCTTAGTAAAATCGCTTTCTTTTTTTTACCATAAAACTAAATTTAAATCGAACCCAATAGATTCGAAAAGGAAGAGCACACTTAAGACCATCGGAATATATATTTTAATCTTAGTTTAATGTACGGTAAAGCATTCAGAAAAATTTTCTTTTCGTTGAAAAAGAGGTTAGAAAGTGATCGAAGTTGAAGCTTTACAGTATTTTTCTCATAACCTTTTATTATTAAAATAGGAAACAAAATGCACAAGACGTTTTTTGTAAAGAATTCAATGACACATCTTTTAAAAAAAGTTTAAGATTGAACAATGTAATGTAGAAGATTTATGTCAAAAATACAGAGAGGTCATGAACGCTGCCGCACCCGTTATTATGCGATAGAAACACATACTCCCTTGTGGAAAATTTTCTCTAAAGACACCAATCGCTTGAAGTATAATTCAAACGATGTATATCGTTAAAAATAATACTGGCATAAACCGCGAAAAGTGAAATAATGAGAAATATCATAAAAATTCATAATATACCGTTATATACCACAATAAAATAGCAAAAGAAAATAACGGTTTTCTTCTGTATATATTTTTTTGATCTATTTGGTACTGTGACAGAATATAGTGGAGAGCGCGTGCTCTTTGTGTTTTAGCATTAGTAATAAAATATTTTTAAAGCGTCTAGTACCTTTTAGTCTCATTTCAAAAAGAATTTCAATAAATTTTTAGTGGTCAGAGACTCTTGCTGTGAACTTTGCGTCGATAGGTTGTTATCCGTTTTAGTGTGAAGTTTTAAGACCCTCTATGCCAGCTTGCATCGAGTTCTGACGACAGTTTCAATAAATGTTGGTCCTATCGAACTATGGTAGCGATATATCGCTACCTTCATCATCAATTTTTTTTTGATACCCTTTGCAATTGGTGAGAAATGAACTAATACGATGGAAAATGTGTTTTCGCATTTTGGAAAAAATTTCCACTTCTTCGACTTTTTATTTCGCTTTTCTCACTAAAGCATTTGGAAACTCTTGCTAAATCACAACCATAAACTTCAAAACAAAGAAAAACTAAACGCGTGTAGTATCTAACACGTTTTCATGTTCATTGTCTGTTCAGCTCTGGTAAACGAACTAATTATCTATCTATTACACAGACAAGAGGGGTCTATCGAACTAATTTATGTCCTTGATGAAAGACCCCAAAAATTGGATGGAGCGGTGAATGAAGAGAAGAGGGCAATTATTTGAAAAAGTTAGTAAGAAAAATTTATTCAAGTCAATTTTTAAAACAATCTATTTCAGCAAATTTATTCTTTGTAAACAAATGCATTGAAATATATTTATTTTGTGAAATCTACTTAAATATATTTGCAGTTCACATTCATTTGTAAAAGAAATGAATTTAATGATTGTTTTTTCCAAAATAAATTTCTTTAAATAGATATTTTTCAAAAAATTCAGTAAAAAATAGATCTTTTAAAATTTATTTAAATTAATTTTTAAAATAAGGGTATCTAAATACATTTTTTCCGTTTTTGAAACTAATTTAAGTAGATTTTTGTTTCTAAAGAAAATTAAATGTATTCACAGTTTGAAATAGATTTACATATGTTGGACCAGTAAATCTATTTGGTTTCATTCTACGTGAAAAGACTGTTTAAATTCATTTTTAAAAAAAGTTCATTTAAATTCATTCTGCGTAACTTTTTGCGCGAAAAATCTATTTAAATCCATTTCTGTCTCAATAAATCTTGTTTTAGTTTTTGTAAAAGGTTAATTTAAATTTCTTTTTTCTCTAAATCAAAATAAAATGCATTTAAACAGATTTTTTGCAAAAACCAAAACGAGATTCATTGAGACAAATGGATTTAAATAGATTTTTCGCACAAAAAGTTACGCAGAATGAATTTAAATGAACTTTTTTAAAAATGAATTTAAATAGATTTCTTTTCAAAAAAATTGATTTAAATTGATTTTTGCATTGAACAAAATAATAAATCCAAAAATAATGGCACATTTGTGTAAAAAGTGGGAAGATGTTAAGTCTTGCCGTTCATGACTTATCAACCAACAAAAGTGGAAAAAGTGAGTTCGTACGTGCAGGAATTCCGTAACTGTACAAGGTAGAGCCTTCGGAGACATTTCAAACTGTAGACAACACATGTGTCTATAGGCCAACAGAGCCGTATTTTAATAAGTTCCCTTTTACAGGTCTGGCACTGGAAAAAGTGAAAACCTCAGGAAAAGCAGTGCTGCTAATTTCACGAAAATGTTTCGCTATATCATATAGAAAAGTTATCTAGTAGAAAGCTAGATCGAAACTCAAAAAATGGGCTAGATTAGGCTCTACGCGCATATGTCGGCTGCAATTCAACACGCCTCCGAGGTCACTAGCCTGTATGGTTACGAAAAATTCCTACAAATACAAAACATCCTAGAGGAAAAGATAATTTTAAGACAAATACAAAATACTTTTCTCTTTCAGAAAGTGAATTATTTTTGTAAATTCTAAGATAAAAAATACTTGTTGATGGATTGTAAGCGGTTTTCGATCATGAGAAATCCGACGGGCATATGGGCGTACATGTCTCGCATATTAGTGCAAACTTAAAAATGAAAACCTTTGCTTTTACCCGTGGGGTTTCTGGAGATCTTGCCGAAAAACCTTTAAACCGGGTCATTGAGAACTGAAGATTTAATGCGTTCGAAAGGGGACACTTTGAGCTATCAGACCAAGTATTTTTTTCAAAATCGACAAACGTTTGCCAACTATTTCTGACATGGGAGACCTTAGGTGATTGTGACGGTGAATTCTGAACTTCGAATGCTTCTTTAGATCTTTCTTTATTATTCATACTAGAGTTTCTTTCTCGATCAAAGCTGTTAATTTTTATGAGCCTGAGAAGTATGATATATCCGCTTTACCTGACAAAAAATAGTTTCAGTACTTTTTTTAAATATAGCACCAATACAAAAATACATTTTATAAAAATAATGATATATTCTGGTAGCTCTTGAAGTTCTCTGTTACCCTCTGCTCCCCCCGCCTGGATTCGAAATTATTTGCTAGCAAAAATTTTGAATGTTGTTAATCCGCCCTTTATCACATTCCCAGGAATTGTCACGGGTGTGGCCCCCAAGTATTTTCTATTTTTCCCGTGTTTCTCTAGAATGCAAAGGTTAATGTTTTTCTTAAAAAGATGCGCCGCGAAATATTCTACAAAAAAATACCTAAGCTTTAATTTCAGAACGTCAATCAACAAAACTATGGAGATTATACAACAACAAAAAAAATAAAAACTTTGAAAATCTAGTATCTTTTTCCACTTAAATCAGTTTCTTCTGCTATTATTTTCGTAAAAGAGAGTTGAAAAAGTGAAAAGTTCAACATAAAAGTATTCTAAGTGTCGAATCGCTTTCCCGATAAAATTAATGAGCTATAGGTAGTCGAGGGCGATTGTCATGTATACTGAAAACGAAAAATAATTTACTCAACGATAGACAAAAAAATGTTTAAAAATTTAAAGAATTTTAAATAAAAAAAACAATAACAGATTTTCAATAAAATAAAATATTGTTCATCACTGATTAACAAAAATAACAATTATAAAACTGAATTAATTCTGAAATAGTTTATACATAATTTGTTTAATCGTATGCTGAACTCATTCGATAGTGTACACTTCTCATCGATTGTGCACCATGATAAAAAAATTTAAAAAATATAATTTCACCTGCAATAATAAGAGCACAAAACACAATTCCTAATCCCATGCCAAGTTGAGCAGCTTTTGTCGGTGGTCGTTCACCTAAAAAAAATACAGTCATTACAATCAAACTAGATAGGCACGGTTTGAACCGAAAAGCGAACATTATCACATTCAAGAAATTTTTGTAGATGATACTATTTTACGTTGAAAATAGTTGCAAGAGAAAATTAATAACATGTGTAGCCTTCTTGTCTTCTCTCATGCTAATGTATATCAACATAGATCGTCATTAGTAGTTAATTCAGACTTAGTATTAGTGTAAAATGTTGTGTCTTGATAGTCATCTTTTAAAGAAAGAGCATTTATTAGATAAATGATAGTTTCTGAATCTTTTTGATTAACAAACAGTCTAATCAGAAAAGATTAAAAACTATGAGTTATATCCTTGCTGTTTCTCTTATACTCTTACCGTTGCTTATATTCTGTTGTTTTATCTACACGAAATAATGATTACTATTATGAGTGTCTCCCACTTGCTTGTGATTATTACTAGTTATTTTGTTTTTCTTATTTTAAATAAAAAATTTAAACTAGCATCAAAGCATAAAAACAGTGTCGATTAGACATTGTCTAAGTCTAGCAAAACAAAAAAAAAACGATTACGTTTGTTTTTTGGTTTTAGCGGTTTGAATCTTTTGATCGTTGATACACCGAAACCGGTACAGATAAAATTAGATGTTTCTTTGACATAGTAAATAGATGTTATCTACTAACTAATTATATCATTTTAAAACTTAAAAAAAACATGTCTGAAATTTTTTCGGTGTTGGTTTAAACTGAACATCGGTCTTTTTGTGTCGGTTTTTCGGTTTCAAAACCGAAACCGGTGCATATCACCGAATCGAAATATTTCAAAAGCTTGTTCGGTCGAAACCGATTGCAGATTCGTCTTCTCCATGGTTGATTATGCGTTACGCAATAACTTTTGGATCTTTAGAAAAAATTTTTCGCATGATTTTGCTCAAAATTTTTTCCAAATGGGACCAAAGGCAAAACGATGTCGAAAATTTTTTCTAAAGTACCCCGATCCAGAAGTTATCGCGTACCACACAATCAACCATGGATAAGACGAATCTGCAATCGGTTTTGACCGAACAAGCTTTTAAAATCTTTCGATTCGGTGATATGCATACCTAAATCAAACTTATACTCTAGAGAATGTTCAGTTTGTCTGCTCTTGAAAACAGAGTGAAGACTTATTTATTGACAGATGTCTGTTTCCTGTTTTTTTTTCTTGTTCTGATCGGCTTCAAGGTCAGAACAAGAAAGTGATACGACCAGATCAAAATAGTCTGTTTTTTCTATTGATCAGACAAACAGTAAATCTTCGTCTAGTCTTGACTTTTTCTGTGTGTTTTTTGTATTTTCTGAAAAACAGAAAAATTCGTCAGGTTCAAGTTCAGAGCTAGGTTTTTTTTCATAATCACCGTTTTATCTTGTTAAGTCACGTAGTATACAGTGACCATTAATTCTTCAAAAAATTTTAAAGTTATTCTCATACGTGATAAGTAATGTCTTAGAGATTTCTGTGCTGAACAAGAGATATATAACGACATTCAGAGTCTGATGGTTACATTAGAAGGTCTTCAGAGACCTCCAGAAAATTTTCTGGGTTTCTACTGATTTTTGCGCAGTATGGGCGATTAGCGAGCAGCACACTTAATTTTTGCATATATACAACAAGCTTGTGGTCTTGATTTCTGTCACTGATCAAGCGAAAAACAGGTCTTGACCAGGAAAATAATCAAGGACGTCTTGACTTACAAGGATCTGACCAGACAAACTGGGCTTTCTCTAGGATACACAATATACCATTAATCTTTCGAATGGTCTTTCATGTATATAACGTGAAGCTCACTTTTAAATGTACACGTGCCATTAACTATTCTCACTTGTTGCAATTTAAAGATCATTTTGTCATACGGCACAAGAGAATTTCCCTAAAATTTCACTTTATCTCCTATTGAATTATAGCTCGTTTACTGTCTATGTTGTTCTAATTCTCGCTTTCCAGTATGTCAATTATTTTTGTTTTTTTTGTCAATCAAGGTAAAAGAATGAGGACTGTAAAAGTTGAGGGAAATTACATTTGTTTTCTCATATTTCTCTTGCATACAAGTGCATGATAGGTATCCATATCAGACAATGGTCTCTCTATTTTTCACATCATTATTATCCACTTTATTAGACTACTTCAAGGTTTTTTCTTTCTCTCGTTACCTAACTACATGATGAACAAGAGTTTATTTCTTTTCCTATTAGTCGTCAATTTCACGTAAAGAGAAGAATGGAGGTAAAGAAAAATTAATCAGGCAAAAACACTGACAGCTGCTGTATAATAAAACATTATAGTCGAAACTACTATTTTTAGTAAATAAATATTCATGATATGACTCAAACAATTTGATTTTGTAGAACTGAAGACCGCTATTCTAATGAGAATATTTCATCATCTAAGAAACTTATCAATCGAAAGTGATTACCTTGTTTGGGAGGTGGTATACTCGAAGACTGTGTCGTCGTACTAGTATTAGTACCAACTTCTATCGTCGTACTGGTAGTAATAATAACTTGTGTCGTCGTACTAGTATTAGTACCAATTTCTATCGTCGTACTGGTAGTAATAATAACTTGTGTCGTCGATGTGGTCTCTGTACTAGTCGTTGTTGTTAATGCGGATGTATTTGTAGTCGAAGTTCCAGTAGCACCATCATCGGACGATCCTGGGAGAGATGTTGGAGAAGTAGATTCATATATATTATGAGCAACTGAGCCTGATGCCGGTTGGTTGTCCGACGGGTCGGACGTTGATGTTGGATCGTTCGACGACTCAGTCGAATCGAAAATATTTTTCGCTATATCTAAATCTCTCGCTTGTACATTAGAAACTTGAAATTTCCAAAAATTTTCATCTAGTTGAACTGTTGAATTTTGTCTTTCATTCGAATAGAGTACACCTTCATCAAACAAGATATAATATTGTTCTCCTTTAGTCCATGGAACATCGTTTGTATAAAAAATGAGAGTATTGTCCTGATAAGTGACATTTTGAGATTGACTAACATCAATTGTATAAATTGTATTATTTGTCCATGATCGTATAAATTTAATAAATGAATGAAATTTTGGACGATTTACTTGACCTTCGACTATTTAGAAAGATAGTAAAAGAGAGATCAGATTTAGACAAGACGTTTGTTCTTTTGTAAAAATCAATATTTTAAAATACGCATGACAAAATAAATAAAATAAAGAAAGAATATTTGCATTTTAGTCTAAAGCAGCGAAAGTTTTTGACATCTAATTCTAGAATTTGATTAAAAAGATAATATATTCAACATATTGTTAGAAAATTTCTTTTCGTATTTCAATTATTATCTATTATAATCTAACAGCAGTATATAAATGAGGGATGTAGTTTCATAGTATTTTGAATTAATTTATCGCAAGAAGAAAAAAAAAGAAGAAGTAAAAAGCGTATAAAAAATGATTTTCTCATTCAATTCCATAGGGAAAATATTTTTTTATAAAATAAATGAATATTGTTTAATTTGTGTACTTGGCTATAAATTTCAAAAAGACAGAACATATTTTCTTATTTTCATTTTATAGAAAATATCTTAACATGTAATTATTTGTTTATATTATCTGTCTTAATTGTTTATTAAAAAGAAATATTTGCGTAATATCTACTTAAAATCTACATTCCTTTCAGATGTTTATCAGGACGAATAATCATAGTATAGTACAAACATATTTATGAAAATAATTTATAGAGATAAATTGAAGACGGTCAAAATTTTCCATTTACATTTATAACGACTACTATATGAAAATGGTTTCGCTTGACGTTTTTTTACAGATAAATTTGACGAAAATTTCTTAAGTACTATCTAGTAAGTAATAATATTAAATATTTTTATTCAAATATGACTAATTACTGAGATATGAACTGATCGTTGACGCGTATATTTGTCGCTGTAGTCGGCTAGGTCACTTACTATGAAGGAAGGGAAAGGAGTGTGATCATTTATTACTTCAGTTCATCATTTCGAATGAAAAATAGAGTATATTTAAATTTTACGACAAAATTTTGGTCTTTTTTTGTTGTTAATAAGGATAGAGGACTTGGTAATACTGAACATTTTTCACGTTTAATCCGAGGATGGTCTCCATACTTTCTACCAATTGAAACTAATGAAAATGCAGCTTTGCGCTAATGAAAAGATACCTCAACATTCGAACGATTTCTGTATTTCAACGAAAACTATTTTATGCATTTTAATAATTACTGTACGGTTTTTGCATCTTTTCTAATACAAAGAATATCTCATGTCTCAATAACTAGTCGAGTTTGAGTAAAAATATTTGATATTAATTGCAAGATAATGTTTAGGAATAATTTTGCAAAATAAAAAAAAAATCAAGCGTCAGGTCTTTTTCGTTTGTATATGAGATTTCAATCCTCCTACACTCTAAAAGAAAAGTATCGTATACAAAACCTAAAAGGGTTTAGGAAACTGTCCCAATCAGATATTCTTGATGGTTTGGTAAAATGCTGCAAAAAAAGATATCGTAGACGTCAAAAACTGCACTTCTAAAACTTTTAACAAACCCTTAAAAAAAAAGGTTTAGTAAAGGATTTTTAACCATGTAACATGACTTGTTTCAAAATAACTGAATTTAACTGAATTGATATCTGCAAATGGTCTCTCTTATATGGCTGATGTCGATTTTGTGAAAAAGACAACCGATCCCATACGCTTTTATTGAAATCTCTGATCTTTCCCTCACAGAGGTATAAGAACATTGAAACTTAAACTCTTTAAAAAACAAAAGACTCAAAGCAATTCCGTGCACACAGTTAAAGTGAAATTCATCACTTCTAGATAATTTTAAAAAATATTTTATTTTTATTCTACGTGAAAAACTTGTCTAAAAGAATAAAATCACCTTTTTCATGTTGACGTTTCGTCTTTATTCTAAAGACGTCATCAGTTAACAAAAAGTAACTTCTAACAAGTGATATTCAAACTCAGTTTGATACACTCTATCCAATCATGTATAAATATCTCAAAAATAACTTCTGCTCAAATTTTGACTGGCTGAAACCTTACCTTTATTCCGTGTTGTTTTGTTTTCTTCATTTTTCTCTGCAAATAACGTTCAATGACGCACTGAATCACTATAGATAGAGAGGGCACCCTCGAAAGATGCAAATACTAGACATTGTACTTGAATGATCTAAGCATCATTGTGTCAGAAAGTCGCTAAGAAAGTTGATTTAGCCAATAGCTCCTGCACTTTCTTTCCACAAAAAGAGGAACAAGAAAACTTTTTCTATATCATAGAGTTTCGTACGAATGAAAAGTCAATATACTCGTTCCCGAAATTGTAAGAAACCTTGGATTTCGAAATCTCAGGGTTTACCGAACTCTAAAACCCTACAAAGTTGAATGAAAAATCATACGGGTTTAGTAAACATTCTATTGAGTTTTTCGAGATAAAGAAAAATCACAAGGATTTTTAACTTCACAAAACCTTTTGATCGTCAGAAAAAACTCTGATTATTTTGCTAAATCGCAGTTTAAAAAGCCATAAGGTGCAGTAAGACGTATAAACCCTTTTCAAAACCATTTAGATTTTTAACAACGACTCAAATACTCTGTTTCCTAAATCCATTAGTAAATCCTTTAGGTTTTGTACACGACACATTTATGTTTTAGAATGTTTAGGATATTCACTTCTTTTATTTAATTTGAAACTAAGAATTTACTCACTTTCACAAGCCCACTTTTGTTGATTAATATCAATATTATCACCATCGGGAATTTTTGATATAATTCTTTGACTATTTACAATACTGATAAAAAATAGAGAAAAAAGTACAGAAAAGAGATAATGGATCATGGTCTGTTTCTATTATAGTTTAAAGAAGAGTTATTAGTATGTTTGCCCCCTTTGTCTATTATTAGTAAATTCTCATAAATTGCAAATAAACTATATGGAAGATCATTGTAATTTAATATGATTTTTTTCTCTTATTTGTCAATGTCACACTTTTTAATCATAATAATAAAAATAAAAAATAAAATGAATAAAATAATAGTCAGTGTAAAAAAAGAAATTGGGTTATATTATTCATAATGGATATCTTTTCTTTTTTCTTTACTTTTTATCTCACTCTCTCTTTCCTGATTTTAATGTTTCTGTAAAACCAGTATAAAGAATGAGTAAGATGGTAACATCAGAAAGACAGCTTTTACCTTTGAAAAAAATAGAAGCTTTTCTTTTTTTTTTTGGTGAGACCGAATGTGAATAAAAGAAAAATTCTATAATATTATTACTAAACATACATAATGGGGGAACTGAAAATATCATTATTTAACAGTATTATGATGGAAAAAAGATCACATCAGCACTATGTTTTCATAAACACTCAAACATATCAGTCATAGACAAAGCAAAGTTTATGTCTATTTGATCAGACATGAAAAGAGTAGAACGAGAAAGAGAAGGAGAATTATGCATTAGTTGTCATGTGCATATCTGATATTGATATTTGATTATATTTAAAAATACTACTCTGTTAAACGGTTTAGATAAAATTAAGCACTTTTCTGATGAAAAAAAGAACAAGAAACCTTCTCAAAATGAGTTCTGTATCAAAAGAATTTAGTGCTCAATCGATGATGAAGTTGGTTCCTTTTGATTGCAGGAAACAGTTACGTGACATTAATTACCAGTATTATGTTTACTTCCATATCCTGTGGAAACTGATACTATTTGTACACAGAATTTAAGGTGTATTTACCATCTGTCATCAATACAAGCACACGTACTCTGGTAGCAAGTAAATATTATTGTTATATCAGAATAAAACTTGTGCTAGATCAGGTTTTTGACAATGAAGACAGTTTAGAATACAGGATTATTATTTAAGTAAAATATTTCATTTTTTAGTCGCCTACAAAATCATGAACAAAATGTCTACAGATCATAAATCGAAAATGCTCGACTGTATAAATGTCTAGTATTTTTGCGGTAATACTTTCAGTCTAAATGGATAAAGTTTTGATAGCGATTCCGTGTGCAAGGAATGTTATGTTAGATTCGAACACGTGACATTGTAAACCAGAAATGTCTTTTATCCGGCCTCATAGCTATAGCTAGAACCAGGTCAAGGTTTTAGTAAGATGACATTTGAAAAACGCACAAAACCCAAACTTTATAAGAGTCAGATCTCTATTAACGCTTCATCTAATCAGTGTCGCTCCTGCGAACTTTTTGTTTGTTATACTGTGTAGATATTCTCTTTTAGCAGACGAGAAGTTGTACGAGTTAGCATTCGGGAGACATATCACAAATACTGATTTTTCCACTATATTTCACAGTCTGTTTGTACTGTTACTCATATGCGCACAAAACGATAAATAAACGATCATCGACTATGCGATCGATATTGTTAGAGTGAATGAATTATAATTTCCCCAATACTGTTGTGTGTAGTGCGAATGTGTCCACTACAGTCAATATAGATTCACAACATTTGTTTGCAGTCTATACACTGTGAAACTATAAAATATTATTCACTTATTATGCCATCTAAATACCTTCACCAAAAGTTATTGAATACAAATTGTCAAAAAAACATACAGAAAAACGTGTCCACAGTGTCTGCATTGTTCCTAAAAACACAGCAAGCAAAAGTAGTTTGAACGTAAATAGTACAAAAACTGTGCAAAACGTGTCTAGAGAAATTCAAAGTTTAGAAAATGATTATGAAACAACCGTTATCAAACAAATAACACCTGTTTTGGGCACTAACGTCACTCGATATATTATTTGCTTAGAACGTAATAAAACCATTAAATTCTTCTGTAAGGTACACGTTTACGACTGATTTTATTGCGCACATGTTTCAGGCAGAAATGCATCTTTAGCGAACGAAACAGGAGCGAATCTACCTGGATCTTGAGGTTATCAGATTTTCACACGACCTCTTATATATCTCTTCAAATCATACTAGAGAGTTTTGGGGAAAATTTTTTTTAAGGCCCCCTCCCCGGGCCAGAAATGCACATTTTCGGCAACAATATTGATTTTGAGAAAAGCACATAGTTGGATAACCCAAAGTGTCTGCTTTCTAGTGACATGCTTTATAATGGCAGCGAACTCGCTCCGTACTGCCAAAGCGATGGCATTTATCTATGAGACAGAACTATCCCAAGATCTTCAGCATCTAAAAACTGAGTGAGCATTTTGGGAAAACATTCGCTGTACCATTCTGACCACTGTTGGGGGGGGGGACAGCTTACCAATGGGAACCTAAAGCTAAAAGAAATATTGTCACGATAAGGATATGGTCAACATTTCCTAAAAGTTTGAAGGAGATCAGACATGTGACCATCGAAATAAATTTCTGATAGCGAAGAGCCTTTAAGATTAAAAGTTTTAAAAATTTATTTTTTATAAATAAAATGTAGTGGAGAGCTCGGGGATGTCTAGTTTTGAAGAGGACACTTTAATCCTCCTGCAACTTCCTTTCAACAACGATGAAAGGACGGTATTCTTTAGAGTCATTGCAGCAGAAATACAACAAGCAGCATCACACCGATACTCAATGACAATGAGAGATGTTGATGAACTTCACATAGCATGAAGATCTAGTCTGAATAGCAATAGCCTGCAAGTGTCATCTGAACCACACTTTTCGCTCGAGAGTTATAAAGCTTGTTAAAAGTAGTATCGCTCGATAAAATTCAGAAAACTCTGAGTAGCATAAAGAAGTAAAAATGAGTTTTCTGCGTAACCATATAAGATAGAATTAATATATTACTCCCACATATATTCTGAAATGAACTTTGTCCAATCGTGCTGTAGATACTATCACGTGCTCGTTACACGAGAATTGGCGAGTCTTTTAAGAGAAAACCAATGTTGCAAACTTCCAGCCGCCCTTTCGTTTAGTCAGCCGAAGTGATAGTAAATGTACGCATTTTACGTGTGCTCATACGTCCTATTTAGCCTGATAATAGTGCTCACTTTTCAAATTTCACAACAGATTCACCATAAATACTCACGTCAGTAAGAAGGTCGCATAGAGCGCATTCAGTTACTTTCAAATGTGAAGAAAGAACTGTTAGCATCCCACTTGAGTGCTGTTTATTTTACAACAGAATAGACTGCAGTTTCTGAATGGACTGGAATAGTCTTCCAAGTAACCACATGTTTTGAATTTATTTATTTCTTCAACCATTCATAGTACAGACTTCGAAGAAAGACATCTCATTGTTAAGTGAACTGTTGCCTCTATTTGTTGATGAAGGTCACTGTACACTGAGACACGTCTCACTACCATACGAGTCATTTAAATTACCATTTCACCAGCTTGTAGAGGACACTTTGAAGAATATGTTCCAAAGATTTTTTCGCTTTACCGACTTGTAACTTCAATAAAAATAATTCTGAAGTTGTTTCGAGTTTTTTGCCGCATTCTTAAAATTACATTAAAAACTTCAGTGTTGGATATGAAGAGTTCATTCTAGCGTAGTTCGATAGAGGACATTAAACTGTATAAGGAAGACAATTCAACATAATTATCGAATGAAGTTTGACGTAGAAATTTTACTTTTATTTAACTTTTCTCAATTTGATCGATTTTAAACAACTTTTGTACAACTTGTACCAAAATACTTGGCTTGAGTGAAACTAGGTGTAAGGTACGGTGAAAACATCTTCAATGGCTCAACAACCAGTGGTATTTTCAAGTTTTGAATTCTTCTTCAAACTCTCCCAGTTTGTAGAGGATTCCTCGAAATATATGTCCGCAAGTTGTTTCGGTTTACTGACATTATTTGGCTGAGAAAAAAAGATATTGCTAAGTTTTCGATTTACCAGACTTACTGAGCGACCAAAAATGAGTTCTAGTTTGTGTAGCGTTAATTAGCGCTATTTAGTCAATAACAAGAAGGAAGAATAGAAATTGTTACATATTTCGTCATAGTAAATATTCTCCACACATTTCTCTATCGATCTACGGAAGAACCAAGTTTTGGGATAAAGAAAGAAGGAATCGGAAATTTTTTAATAATAGTCCTGTACTCAAAAGTTTAAAAACATTTTTTCCCGTAATTAATTCTTTTCTCGAATAAATAGGTCGGATAAATAGGTCTTCTACAAACGGGGAGAGTTTGAGGAAAATCTAAATACGGGGACCCCTTGATGACTCCCCCCCTTCATAAATTATCTCCGACACCGTACATCCGATCTTGAAGAAACTTTCCATAAGCGTTAGGCACAATGAGTTATGGGATTGAAAAACTTTTTCTGTCTCCAAGTGTTATGGTTTAAACGTTTTCTAGAGATCAGGTCCAAAAAGGACCCTGAAGTATTTTCCGAAATTTTTTAATCTACTTCAAGCTAAAGAGTTCGGGTTTGCTTGATTTTAAACTAGACACCTAGTTACATGTGCTGACTGGCGCCGATTTTTCAGGAAGATGCCTGTAACTTTTTAATACAATGTTATAGAGAGTTGTGCGGCGTCTTATGTGGATCAGAAAAGTTTGCTCTACAATCTACGCGTTGAGAAAAACATTTAATTGCATAAGTATCTAGGAAAAAACTATTATATGAAGATCCTGTTTTTCCGAGCTCCTAGAAAAATCTGCTCGAAAGCCGCGAAAAATCACTTCTGTAACCGAAAGCGATATAGATTCTGAAAGTAGACACTTCAGGCTCTCTTTTCATGTGCTTATCTTAGAATGGATTTGTTGTCCGAGGATCATCATTTCTGAGGGAGGCGGGCCCTTAACGCCAAAATAAATGGCTAACGTTAGCATTTGATCTTTTTCAGTAGCCTAGAAGCAATGATTTGATGACTAAAGATCTTTTTGAAAATTATCGACAGATTCGAATAATGCAACTTGTGGTTTAGTGTTTAGTTTTGCATTCATATTACTTAGATCATCTATAAAAGTCACTTAATTCTAATTTCTTGAATTACGAAACTCGTGATCACAATATGCTGCCACCTTTTGGACTTTTTCAAAGCTTTTTAAGAACTTTAAAGATGAGATTTAGAATTTCAATATTTCTGAACGAATTTGATGATGATTATTACACGGTTATCTGTTTTTATTGTACAATTCGTTGTATTTTGTAATAAAGCATCTAATATATCTTTTGTAGAAAAATTCATATCATGTGTTTGTGTAAAAGTAATAGTTTATACACAAGTTAGTTGAGAGTTATATCGAAAATACCAAAAGGCATACTCGTATAGGAGTAGAAAAATTTAGTCACACTATTATACTCAAGTATAAAAAAAATGCTAGGTTTTTAGTCAATTGCAATTATTTGTTAACGATGGTGGAAATCTAGTAATCGAGCGATTGCTAGATTTATCCTCACTATCGATTTATCCCCTGATAATCAAACGATTTAACTAATGCTAGTCCCACATGCAGACACATCTAGTTAAAAGTCCCATTTCCAACTAGTAATCTAGATGACAACTAGTCGTGCATCACTGAATTACAGACGAAATGGATCTAGATTTTTCCTATAGGTGATTTTTGTTTGCACATTCGTTAAGAAAAAGGTTGATCATTTTAATCTCAAATGTCAATATCACCAGTGTCAGCTTTAAACAAATTTACTCTAGTCTATAACGATAAATTTTCTGAAAATAGTTATATAAAAACGGAAAAGTATTGAGACATTATCAGCCTTACCTTCCCATACATGAATAGCCCATGAAAAACGTTTTTTTTCTCTATAGTCAATTATCTCGTGTCCGATAACTTGTGAATCGAGGTAATTTTATAAAACATTTTCTCATGATATTGCTCAAAACTTTATGATAAAGCTACGATATGGGACCAAAGGCAAAACGACGTCAAAAACTTAAAAAGGTTATCGGGTACGAGATAATCGACTATAGAGAGGATGAATCTGCACTTGGTTTTGGCCGAATAAGCTTTTAGAATTTTTCGATCCGACCATATGACTTATTGATTCGGCAGTTTTTTTCAGAGCTGTTATGTTACCTGTTAATCTTGTGTTTTATTTGAATATTTCCATCAGTCGGTAACAAATCTAAACAGGAATGATGTCCGGGTTCGGGACATAGAGGAAACACGCCAGTTTTATATTGTTCAAAGCTGTGTTTCGTTTGTGCATCAAATCTCCAGCTAATCGCGTGACGATAAACACTTGGCCCGTAGCGATCGCGAATATACTTGCCTGGATTATCGAATGTTGGTATCCATCCATTTCCAAAACGTATAAGGGATAAATTTGTTCTTAACAATACTTGATAATATATTTCAATATCCCAATATTTTGTTCGTATAACTTGTCGATAATCAAATTGTTGAGTCTTATAGGAATACTTGGAAAGTAATTCTTGAATGACCAATGTGGTATTTGCTGACGGAAACTCACAAAGTATATCACCATCAATTTCCCACGGCAAAACGGAATCGAATTTGACTGCGCCTATTATATCAGAAGCAATTCAACTACGGTACTGGGAAGATTAAACGGTTCTGACAATTGTCTATCTACTGCAAAAAATGTTAAAGTAAAACACGCTCAAACAGCAACCTCATATCAACGGATGCGTTCTCATTTTTTCACATTTGCGTAACTAAAACATCATTTTGACCAGTTTTTTCATTCTCCTTCAAAAAATTTTCTTTCCGTCAATCGTTCATTTTAAGTGTTTGCACTATTAAAATATAACAGGCTACAAAGATTTTCCAAAGTAGTGCCCCATTTTTAGTAGTACAACAGCTTTTTCGAAAACTAGGCTTATCATCCTCGAATTTCAAATCAATAAAGCTTGTCTTCAAATATGAGATAGGACGTGTTTAAACGGTAACTTAATTTCTCAAAAATTGATCCATTCGAAGTTGCTGAAGGTTCTTTTAAGCACGCGTTTGCGAAACAAGGAACAAGTACATACGGTAGATCTGCAGATAGATCCTAACGTCACCTATGGGTAAGAACATATTGTAGTTTTCCCAGGTTAGATTAGGTTTCGGAACTTTGTGTAGTCTAGTCATAAGAACAACGAAAACAATCATACAGTGATGTTGTACACTGTAAAGAAAGGTATCCTGGAATGTGTGCTAGGCAAAATATGTGCTTGAAAGTGTCTAGCAACAAAAAGTGTCTTATAGCAGAACAGATCTACAAATGTTCTTTCTTGTTTTAAAGAAAAGAAGTTTCTGAAACAAGAAACGGTGATTTTCAGCTAGTGAACGCGTTCTGAGAATGAAGTTGCCATTTGAATGCTGACTACATCAAAAGTCTTTTTCAGCGTGTACACTTAAAATATTTCTGTCCATTTTTACTTACCTAATGCTGTACCACTATCAACTAAACATTTAATACCATATTGTTTATGCATTTTCAACACTCTTTGAATCGCTATTATTAATTCGTTTAAGCAGCACTGTGCGGATATATATGTTCTTGCATTTGTTCTTGCATTGCATTTTATATTCATCTCCTCACAATCATCGAAACGATGACTTATACGAGATGGCTTGTAGTTCAGATAATTAATTTGCCATTTCTTACAGAATTCTAATACGAGTGAACGATTTTGAATAATAGTTTTTAGCAGAGATACGTCATTTATCGTATACATAACATGAGGATTGGTTATTATAGAAATTCCGTTTGTTTTTAACAGGAGTGTCCAATCGAGTATAATTAAGTTTTTAAGTAAGTTTTTATCAAATGGATATTGTTTAAATTGTTGTGTTCGACCAAATATGGGTCCATCACCGTAAGTACAACGAAGAGAACCATCTTCATTTGAATGATAATAACCTCGATCAATAATTAATTGATATGTTTCATACAAATATTGATAGCAATTTAAAGTCCAATGATTTGAACGATGAGAATGAACAGAACCCAAAACAAAGCCATTGAAGAGCGGAAAACGAGTTAAACTAAAAGAAAATGATAAGATTAACGAATGACATTAGACTATTAAAGATATCGATTTTTCTCAGCTTTTACCCATCTTTTGTGGATAAATAATTTCGTAGTAAGTCATCTAATATTTCATTTTTTAATTCGAAATATATTCCATCATAAATTAAGAGTAAGAATGATGTTTGTACAAGATCAATTAGATCGTTCCATATTGTACCTTGCGATTCTGCAGAAATAAATTGTTTTAATAAAATATTATTATCACTCCTTTTCTCATTGCACAAATTCGAAACTCCAATAATTAATTTTATGTCCTTTAGAAACATTTTTCTATGATAGTTAATGTGTTTTTTACAATCATTCGACCAACTTGTACCATCTATAACAATTGATACTTCATGATCAACTGGCTTACGATTACACGATTGAACAACAAATTTTTGATTTGTATATATCTCATCACAGACAATCTGGTGCTGATCTTCACTTTTTACAGTATCTTTCACCGTTTTTAATTCACCAACATTATTACGCTGTTCGACTGCATGTAAAGCATGAGCTATTTCTTTTTTGAGTTTTGTGAGAAGAAGTTTACCTACAAATAAAATATATGTGAGAGAGCTCTTAAATTTCCATCAGATTGTTTCACTACATATTCTAATCTTTGTGAAGTATAACAACAAGAACAAGTTTATTTCACTATTTCATAGTACTTGACAAAGCACAATTTGTGTTTGATGACTTTAGTAAAACGTCAAATAATAAAATTACAAATATGATAGATGAACTGTGTGAATTGAGAAGGAGATGATACCTATTCGAGTTAATGTCAGTTTCGCGTTCACCGCGAATTCAAAAAGCGTTAAGGACCACATACCAGTACACGCTTATACCGAAACACTGCCAACTACCGCGAAGTCAAAAACAAAGCCAAAGTTAACTTCGCGACGAAATCAGTTCTCCTACCCTGATCAACTGCGAACGTGAAACAACGGTAGAAGTTAACTTCGCAGGGACAGAATAGTTGCTACTCGCATCTACTTTAATCAACTGTAATGTTCCTGTGATCTCACAGCCACAAGGCCTACCACCCGCCCCTCCCATCCACCTCCTTGTAAAGTTGGCCCTAGATGATAGTGGCACATTTAAGTTCGAAGCGAACTTGTGGTATTTTTTTGACTTCCAAGTAGATGAGAGTAGAAGATATGAATTTGCCGCGAAGTTAACTTTTGCTAGTATTTTTAAATTCTCCACTATCTATACATGACCTATTCGAAACATTTGTTGAAGGCATTGATCGAATATAGACGGGCAAAAACTTATCCGATACTACATTGATTTTTCGATAGTTATTATAGGCATTTCTCGAATGCAGACCGATTTTAAAATTTACCTGTTAAAACACGGATTTTATTATAAAAATCAGTTTTAACACCTATTTTGAAATCATCAGATATGTAAACAATATTCAGTGACCATCAGAAATATGAGAATGTACCACAAAAGCAGATTTTGATGTGCATTCTTAGAAATTTGTGTTCTTGAAAAAACAAAAAAAAATGATCTTCATTTGTCCCAAATAGAGATCACGTATGGGTTTTCTGAAAAATTACAAAACAGAATTCTCTAAAAACTGAAGAATAAAACTTTTGTTCCTCAGTTTTGGAATCTCTATTTGGAACAATTGTTCTTTGAAGAACACGTTTTTGTTCTGCAACGATAGCGCTACTTTTAGTAGATGAATTTTAAAGGATGAAACCGCACCTTTTCTCGTGAATTGTAGATTCCAATACTACCTTTTGATCCGTTAGGTATGACACAGGTAGGCATGCACCGGGACGGGAACGTCGCGAAATGGGAATTTTGGGAATTCCGAAGCTCGGAAATCCCGATATTCCGATTGCTAATAGAAGGAGTAGTCCGCATAAGCCTTGAAATCGACCAACTCAATTATTATTATTTTATTGGCTCAATGCATCCAGAACTCATCAGAGTTATCTTATTCGGTGCTGTCGACTTTATGAAATGCTTCCGATTGAACGTATACGATCAAATTTACTCGCAGAGAAACACCCCCGTCACACTATCAGAATTATGGTAAAATCAAAATTTCTCCTCAACTATCCAGTGTTCAGCGTAGTGTAATACACCATTCGATGAGTCTTGAAAAGCTCTACAATATGTATTGATAGGAAACTTAACGAAGCCTGACAGCGGTCGTTGTGACTTAAATACTAGTTTTTTCCATAGGTCACCGCTATGCTACTCGAACTCTCGATCACTTTTCTTTCTGAAACTAAAGATGATCCGTAATCATTCATACACCACTCGAGGCGTCCTGAAAATCTCTACAAGATGTATTAATAGGAAACTTCTATTAATAGGAAAATCTGACGAAAATGAGATGTCTCCGAGCTCCTTATGATCTTGTTTCCTGAAACAGCATTCAACTTACGGGAGGTTCGATACCAGCTTAGTGCATTCCGTAAGTTGAATGCTGTGCCCTAAGCTGGTATCGAACCTTCTGTCAGTTGAATGTTGCTTCAGGAAACAATATCGTAAGGAGCTCGGAGAGTGGCGCTGTATTTAATATCCAAAAAAACGCTCCCAGCTTTGGTTGAGTTTCCTATTAATAAATCTTGTAGGGATTTTCAGGA